ATAAAATTGTATTTTTAGTTATTGATTTCATTTATAGTTATATATTAGTATATTAATAAAATTATTATTTAATATATTTGTTTAATACAAATACCATATTTATGCATAATTAAAATTTAATTCATTCATACATCCAATCATCTTATAGATAAATCGTGTATATGTATAGATATGTGTAGTGTGTCATGTGCCATTTACACTATTTTTGTTTTTTTAGGCTAACACGTGTGATCTTGTTTAATTTTTTAAAAAAGTTTTCTTTTAGAAGTGGGATTTACCTTCAAATTTTTTTCTTGGGGGCCCACCATTTTTAAAAATTTTTTTGATTTAATTTTTTTATGTAATTTATTAGAATTCTTTTTTCAATGAAACCCACTTTTTTTCTAGATTTTTTTCTTTGGTATCACAAGTAATTTTTTATTTTCATTTTTTTTAAACATGTCATAAATATTTTTTATTTCCTTTTGGAACCAACTTGATATCAAAGTTTATAATTTTTCTTTTTTTTCAAGAAGATTTGATAAATTTTTTAATATTTTCATTATCTTTTTGATATCACAGGTATATTGCATGTTCTTTTTTTAGTTTTTAACTTTTTTCTTTTTTCTATTTTTTATATATTTAATAAATAAATTTTTAGATTTAATTTTTTATAATTGACCTAATGTAAGGGTATCAAATGCGAAATTATTTGATTGTTTTTCCTTTTTTGCTTGTAATCTTTTTCTATTTACTTTTTTTCTTTATTTATTTGATAAAAAAATTGAAATATTATTTCGCCTTACCTTGACTATATGTATTAAATTATATTTCATATTATTTAATTTAATTTTGTATTTATATATATTACATTAATAAAGTTATTATTTAATATGTTAATTTAAGAAAAATACCATATTTATACATAATTAAGATGCAATCCATCTATCCATTCATTATATAAATTTTATTTATTTTTACTTTTGTTTGATCTTTATTCAAGGTCTCAACGTATAGCCTTTTGTTTATTTTTAGTTTCTTTTCCTTTTTTCAACTTTTAAAAATATTTTATTTAGATGAGTTTTGTGAAAATAATAATGTACGTGTCTACGTGGCACCCCAATTTACATTTTTTTCCTTTTCAATTTTTTTATTTTTAATTAGATAAATTTTAAACAAAAAAATATATGGATATGAATATTAAAACAATTCATATCCAATGGGTTCCCACTCAATTGAAATGTATACATTGTACCTCAATTAACTTTCTTTTCCTTTTTCTTCGTTTTATGTTTTTCATTTTTTTTATTTTTAGTTTTTTTTATTTTTTCTTATTTATTAAAATTCTTTTATGAAAAAATCCAATAAAGGTATCCACATGGCATCCATTTGTCTTTTTTTTTTTCATTTTGTTATTAATTAGATAAGTTTTGCAACGAAAGGCACCAAATGACAGAGATGTCGAAACAATTTGTATTTGATTGGTTTTGATCCATCTCGATCCGATAATGGCTATTTTTTTTTAAATCAAGGTTGAGTTAAGATATATTGAATTTTCATAAAAGAAAATTATATTGGATTAGAAGCATACTTTGCGGTGTTTTGTTTCGACTAAATTTGAGGTATATATTAATAATTTATTTAATTTTATGCATATATATACTATATTAATAAAATTACTATTAACCTTAATTTAAGAAATTAATATTTTAAGCTCTATATAGTTGTCAATGTAGCACCATCTATAAGTTTTTTTTAAAATTTTTTTTTAGTTTTTTTTTTTTTTATCTTTTGGCCTTTAAAATTTTTTTAATTAGATTAGTTTTATAAGCAAATGAAACCAATTAAGTTATTTACATGTAATTTCAATTTTTTAAAATTTTTTTAATTAGATAAATTCTTCAAAAAATTGATAAATACAAATGATAAAATGAAAATTTTTGACCCACAATAATGTTGGAATACATCTCTAATATGGATAAAAGTCTTAAGTTATCTTTTTATAAAGAATTTAGATTTTATTTTGGATCTTGAGAAAACTATGATTTCACCCATTGAGTTAGGACAAAAATACTAAAAAATGAGTTAGAACAAAGATACTTAAAAGATTCTTTGTTTCTTTTGTTGCAACCCAAGTTATACTTACCTTATCAATAATGTGTTTTTATTCTTTTATCCAATTTATCATGTTGAAGTTACAAGCAAAGGAAGTTGACCGCCTATTGGAATTGCAAGCAAAGAAAATTGAACTCTTAAAAAAAATTAATTTATGGTTTCATCCAAATATAATTTTTTTAGTAGTTTTAATCTTTTTTTTTTTAATTTTTATAAAGGCTTATGCTTAAAAAGTTGAACTTTTAAAAACACATTGATTTATGATTTCATCCAATTATAATTTTTTTAGTAGTTTTTACCTTCTTTTTTTATTTTTATCAAGGCTTATGCTTAAAAACTTTGTTATTATTCATTCATTTGTATAAATATTGAAGATTATTAATTAATATCTATTTAGAATATTTTAAAATTTGACTATAAGTCATAATACATTTGATTTTTCTTATTGCTTTATTACAAAATGATAAAAAATAATTGAATTGTGATATTAACATTGATAAAAAACCTTATGCCATGAGATTTTTTATTAAGTTTTTTTAAGTAATAACTTGAATTAACTTTAAAATGTCGAATTATTAATTTTATTATTAGATAAATATAATTAATATAGTAAAAATATTTTCTCGTAAATATAAAAAAAATGATCTCGTAATATAATGGGTTTTATTCTATTGCACTAAATTGTTAGTGGTGAGAAAAAAATTGAGAAAAAAACCGAAAATCGATTCGAAATTGAATTATATATTTTTATTAGTATTAATTTATATGTATATTTTAAATTTTTATAAAATAAAAATAATTATTTTGTACCTAAATTTATTTCAATCTATTAAAAATTATGTTAAAATAAATTTTAAAATTTTAAAATTTAAAATTCAATAAACTGGACTAAGTTGATAAAATTTGGATCGAATTGGATCAATTAAAAAAATTTTAATTTAGGTTTAGATTGAATTTAAAAAATTCATATTACTATATGTTAATTGAAATAATTGAACTGAAATTGAATCAAACGAAACCATTATCACCCTTATGAATTGTTATAACCCAAAAAAGAAATATAGCTAAATTAGGGTGTCTCTAAAAAGAAGGGGACTAAATGCATTACAAAATCTTCTTTATATACTTCATAAATTTTCTTACAAAAATACTCACATAATAAAACCTTTAATAAATGATAAAAATACCCTTAATATATTATACACCCCATCCCTTCTTTTTTTTCTTTCCTATTTTCTTCATTTTTCTTTCCCTTTCATCCATCTTTCTCATACATTAAATCCTAAATCTTTAAAACTAAAACAAAAATTTTGAAACTTTTGTTAAATCCTATAAATCATGTAAGAATGGATTCAAAAATGAGAAACAACAATGGAGGAGAAGAGCTGAATGAGATAATGGAAACTTACCCAATCGAGTTTGAATTTTTTATGTTTTTCGAAAATTCATTTTAGATACTACAATGTAAATCTTGAAAATCCATTTTCGAGAATTATATTGTATTCTTGAAAACGAATTTTTGAAAATACAATATAATTCTTAAAAATAAATTTTTGATAATTATATTGCATTCTCGAAAATAGGTTTTTGAGAATTATATTATATTTTTGAAAATGGATTTTCAAGAATGCATTATAATTTAATTAAATTGTTTCTATAGGATGTTCGAGCTTGGTTAGTGGATAAGATACACTAATTAAATACTAATTCATAAGATTAAAGACTATTTAAGTTTAAAGTAAAAAAAACTTAAAACTAAAATTTACATAATCATTGAAGTATATCCAATTATTGCACCTAAAGTTATATAGTTCCATAAAGTTTGGTAGTAAAAAATGAGTCCATATAAACTCAACAAAGCTGGGTTTCAAATTTCAGACTAATCCCTATGCTAAATAGCTCATGACATAATAACCTGGCATAATAAAGAACATTGACTTTGACAATGTTGTTAGTAAATTTGTAAATCCAGCAATAGGAATCTTTAATCTTTAAGCTACTAGACATTGTTTGTTTAATAACTTTTGTAATACTTTTGTAATTCTAACAAACGTATACTTGTCTTAGAGATAAGTTTTCAAGCATATATAGGTAAAAGGGTATTCTTGGTTTTCTAGAATCTCAAGACAAGAACACCATTTTACCATATATGCTTAATAACTATTATGTCTCTTCTATTTGCACATATGATCAATCAAAATCAAGGTTTTAAGCTTTAATTTTTTCAAAAATTTATTTCTAAGAAGATTTAATGCTTTTCTAAAAAACGTTAAATTTTTTCAGATATCTATTTTTAAGAAATTTGATTTCATCTAAATTCTACACAAACATTAACGTATATTCACATGCATTTTAATCACAATTCAATCAAAATCAATTAAAAACAAAATATGAATTTTATTTTTAATTATTAAAAATTAAAAAAAATATAAGTAATTTGGGGTTAATTTGTTTGATTAACATTTTTTTTTGCATTGAAAAGTGAAAGAATATAAATAAAAAATAAAAAATGAGGAGTAAGAATGTATTTAATAAAAATAAAAAATTTGAATTTGAATTTGAAATATATTCAAAAGTGAGTGTAATTTAGGCTGTGAAAATTTCAAAATTTAATTTGACATTGTAAGGACAGGTTGACTGATTAGAACTAAATGCTGCTTAGCCAGCCAATCACGATGTGCTTTTAAAATTCAAGCAACTTATGAAAAGCGCCACGTTTTGTACGCACATGGACTTGAGCAGAACAGAAATTGAAAATTTTCTTCCAAAAATCAAATCTCTGACCACTTCGCTTCTCTCTTACACACAAACATCTCTCACTGTCTCTCTTTCTTCGGTTTGTCTGTATGTCCGATCCAAGTCGCTGCTATAACTCGGTCTCCTTCGAATTCGCTTTCTTCCCAACTCAATTATTGAGCTGTAGTTTTACTCTGAACGCCGTTGTTTCCTCGAAGGCTAGGGTTTACTCCTCGAAGCGCGAGTTGGGAGTTATTTATCGGATACTTAAGGTTCGATATTTGAAGTTCTCCCAAGTGGCGATTTCTGTAAATTAAGCGGAAATGGAACCCTTTTTTGAGTTACGGAGTTTTGGGAGGGTTTCAAAGGTTGTCTGGTGGAAGGGGAGTAATTAGGGTTTCGTTGTTTCTATTGATTTGTAGGGATATTTTGAACTTAATTTGTTCATTTTCATAGGCGGAAGTGGAAAATTATGGGTTCTGTAGGGCAATTTGAAATCTAGGGTTTCTCTAATGAGCTCTGTGAAATTTATAGTTGGGGTTTCTTTTTGAAGTAGAAGCAGTATTTTTAAGCTTAAATCATAGGACTTTCTTGCATTTAGAAGTGAGGAAGTTGTATGAACAAATTGGGATTATATTGAGAGAGAAATGTTTTATTCACAGTTTATATTGGCAAAGAAGGGTCCATTGGGGACTATATGGATAGCAGCACATCTGGAGAGGAAGCTTCGAAAGAATCAGGTGGCCGATACCGACATTGGTGTCTCTGTTGGTTAGTACTTTTTTATTTTCATTTTACATGTTAATTTGAAATCCAAGAGTTCAAATTTCAAATCTAGCTATCTCTTTCTACTTGTATTAATTTATTATTTGCCTCTTAATGGAGCAATATCTAAGTCTTCTTGGGGTTAGTTTAGTCTAGATGGTTTGGGTATACTATGTCATTATTTATTTAGGTATTCTTTGGTTGTTTGTTGTGCTACTCTTTTTTCTCCACAGGAAGCAAAAAGCAGAAAGTAGGTTTGGATTCAAAAGCAAACAATATTTTTTAATTATTAAAGCTTAAAACTGTAATCTTTTGGAGAGAAAAAAAGGATGATTTTTCTTTAATATCAGATAATATTTATTTCATAATTGGTATTGCGATTTAGTTATTGGTTCATTTTTAATCAATTATGATTTTATTTATTGCCATTTTACATTTTAACAACTTTGTAGACTCAGGAAGTAAATAGCAAGAAATAATTAGTAGAGCCTTATTTATTGTCCAATTGATACGCTCTTTTCTTTTCCATGATTTGTAATTTCAACCAACCATTGGAATTAGTGTTGGTCATATGCATACATAGTTTTAAATTTGTTGAGTATTTCTAACAGCTTGATGAAATCAGAATAGTTTCAACTGTTAAACATATATTAGTAAAAGTAGTGTTTTGGAGTTGAAAATCATAAATACCGTATTATCTTGAAATTCAGCATGCTTGATGGAGTGATCATACAATTGAATCCAGCAGTCAATCTGGTAAAACATGGAGACTAGAAAATTATGGGGTAATGTGCTCATCGGAATAGTTTGCTCCTGATGTGTGTGTCTGTTGTCTACTGGTTCTCAAAAAAGAAATTTCATTCCTAAGTTCCATTTAATATTTTTGATGAGATAATTTTAAAAGTTCATAACATCCTCTTTTTCATTCTAGTGATGCATGAACTAATCCTCTTCAAGTGCTTGTATGCTTTTTACTTGTCTTGCCCCTTTTGGGCATATTTGGAGGAGCTGACAATTCTGTTGGTTGCTTTGGAAACATATGGTCATGTAGGAGTAATTTCCCTGTGTAACCTACCATTGTGTTGGTAGCACATTCTTAAAATATGTGGTTTTGCTTGGTTACTCAGTGGAAGAATTTTCCTTTGAACTTGCTCAGCTCTATTGTTGGTTTTGTTGCTCATGGCAAATCTCTGCGCTAATAGAATTTGATAAAGCTATTCAATGATGGTAATGGGGTTGTTATATTTTCATGTTACACTATTAAATTTCTTTCCTTTTAATGGACAACCATGTTACCGAGGATAGGTTGCCAAGGCTTATCTAGCCTTTTTCCTTTTTTTCTATAATTTTAATTTTTTTTGTTTATATGGCTTTGAGCAGACTCTATTCTTTTTCCTGAAGTACCAATTGCACTACGATTATCCAGTCATCTTCTTCTTGGAGTGGTGAGGATATATTCTAGAAAGGTGAATTACCTTTTTGATGATTGCAGTGAAGCCTTGCTTAAGATAAAGCAGGCATTTCGCTCCACTGCAGTTGATTTACCACCAGAAGAATCGACTGCGCCCTACCATTCAATCACTTTGCCGGAGACTTTTGATCTTGATGACTTTGACCTGCCTGATAATGAGATTTTTCAGGGGTTCGTTCCTAATATTTACCATTTAGATTGCCTTTGTTGATGTGTGTGTTACTTTGGTAATATGAGATATACATCGGATCTTTTCATAAGGTATCTAGGAAAGAATTATATGATTATTAACATATGGTTTTCTTGGCAGTAACTTTGTTGATCATCACGTTAGCTCAAGAGAGCAGATTACACTTCAAGACACCATGGATGGCATGGTTTACTCGACATCACAATTTGGATTGGATGGTTAGTACATGCTTTTAACTGTGATGATACTAGATTTAGCTACATTTGGTCAGAAAAATATTAGTAAATCTAAAATTCTGTATTGTAAATTTCAGAGCGGTTTGGTGACGGTGACACTTCTCAGATTGGTCTGCTTGATGAGGTAATCTGTCAGTGTTGCTTCCCTGGCATTTGGTGATTAATTTCGCAAGTGGTCTGTAATCAGCAGGAGGCATTCCGATCTAGGACCTGGAAAATTAAGAAAGGATGGTTATATAGCAAGCGAGAATATCTGATTTTATGGCTTAAGCGGATGAGGAAATATGATTAGTTTTCATGTTTGATTTAGGATGGAAGGACTTAAGCTCGAAGTCTGCCAAAAAAAAAAAAAAAGAAGACCACATTGATTTGTGTGTTTGTTTGCGTCTGTGGGTGGTACCAGTGAGTAGTAGTTTAGATTTGGGGTTGAAATCTGATGTGGAATTGCTTAGGATTTGATTGATGATTTAGGAATAAGAAGATGAGTATCTAGGTTTTACAGCTATATGTCCTACACCTAGGGTTCAGGTTGTCTTAGACCATCCAAACAGAGGTGTAATAGCTCTTAAAATCGTCATAAACTCCTCTCCATTGAATAGAAGAAGTTATATCTGTATTTATGGAGTTGATGGAATCATCTTTGATGGAGATGAGATCCAAGAAAGGAAACTATCAGAAATTGATTTAGAACAACCCCTATATTATAATAACACCTAATTAGATAACATGATCCTAAAATTAAGACCTTCAGATCCTGAATCTACAGTTTCCTGTAAAGCTGGAAATTGTTAAGCATATCTGAAAACAATCTATCTGAAGGAAATAAAAGAAAAGACTTAATAATCAGTTATACCTTATCTGAATATTTTATTTTCTGTTTTCTTAAGATATATAATTTAGTTTTTCTTTATTTATAGTTGACTTTTCTTGAATTCCTTGTCATTTAAGCCACTTTTTCTTTAGGTGAGACTCATTTTTAGTTTTTGGGTTATGGCATGAGAAATAGTTGTGCCTTATTTCCCCATTAAAATAAATTATGTGCGTTTGAACATCATGGGGGGTCTTTCCTCTTCTTTCCATAGCCAAAGAAAAAGGAGGAAATGAAAGGAAGGGAAGCAGTTGGGTCTTTCTTTGTTTCGCTTGGAAATCTTTTCCAATGCAATTCTTTTAGAATTCTTTTTATTCTTCTATAGATCTGGTCATGTTGCAATCTCTATTGGAATGAAAGGATTATGATAAAATTACATAACATTAGCTACTACTTTTAGAGTTTTGGGACGGTAGGTTAGCTAATTTACTTATGCATTAGAAGGGAGACTTTGATGGTCTTAATATTGGAAGAAAGAATGGTCTGTGTCTTTAAAGATCCCCTGCTAAGACAGGAAGATTTTCTAACTCAACAAAAATGTTGATGTCACTCATACCTACTAAAAATTGGTGAGAAATGAGACTACCGAACTAGAAAAAAGACCAAGTAAGAATAAAATGAGTGGGTTTGTTGCAAAATAATTGTGACCATGGGTTAGTGGGTTAGTGAGGGACAACATTAATATAATGCTCTAGTAAAGGAGAGTGGTAAAATAACAAAATATTTTGTTTAAACTAACCAGTTTGGGAGAGTAAATGATGCAATGATGTCATCAGAGCGTAGCATAAATGCATATCCTTTCCCTAAGTACAAGTAGAACTGCTTATGGTCTTCTAGGACTGGTATGGGCATAAAATGGGTCAATTTACTGAAAATATTTCATAGGTGGTTCGAACATTATAAAACCTGATCACTTGGTTTCTGAAGTTGAAAAATACGCCCAGATACTGTGTCAGCAGAACTTTTAAATTGCTGCATGGATGGTTTCATTCATGGCCCTTCAAAGTTGATATCTTTTTGGTTGTGGTATTAAACTTTTCTTCTTTATGAATTCACTGGCCTTTTTACCTTTCCTTAGTGCTCTGCCCGCTTATGCTAATCATCTACTGAAAATTCTTGTCCTGAATTAACCTTGAGCAGGAGCTAGTCCTAGATAGGGTTGGAGCGCCAGCAAATGGAGTTTTGGTGTAAGCATCATATATATACCCTATTCTTTCTTTAATTCATTTTGGATAGTGTGGCTGCTTGACTCCCACCACAAATTATTAAGACATCATTAATTTCACTGGTTAATTTATGCAACCATTTTGATAATTTTGAATTTTCTGGCTTATCTTGTTTCTGTCTTTTCAGGTATGATCTTCAAGGGTCAGATGTAATACAGAAACAAGATCCAAGTAATTCTGAAGATGTGCAAATGGATTGCAGTGGGGATCAGGTTTGTTTTTATTCAATGCAGCTGAAATATCAATTTCCTTTTAATTTAATTTTGTCTTTCTTGTAGAAACAATTCATTTTCTAGCTATTATTATCTGACTTGTTTAATATGTTTTGCTTGCTGTAAGGTTGAAGGTCTAGTTGCAAATTCTGAATTTGTTGAGTACGATCAGGATCCAGGTACTCCTGGATTAGTGGAAGTGTCTGGTGTTCATGAGGCACTGGCTGGTGTTGTTCATGTGGAACCAGAACATCACAGTCTTCTAGAATTGGCCAACTCTGATTGTGTAGAAAATGCTTCTAATAAATCGATTCTTCCCCATGAGGATAACAATCCTGTGGATCAGTCTTTGCAAAATGATTTAAGTGATGATGCTATAGTTAATGTGCCTCCTGAGAGTGGCTGTCATATTGGTGACATGGAGAAAGAACAAACTAAGCCACAAGTAAATTCTTTCTGTGATGCCATGTCTGTGGAATACACTTCTGCTGTTGGGACTATCAGAGCACCTGATGGTTTGGATAGGTTGGAAGATATGCATAATGGTAGTATGCACTCAATGGATAGAACTGATGGGGAATGTGCAGAATCTCCTAGCTGCTCCAATGTCACCTTTGATTTGGAGGACCCTGTTCGAAGAACATGCTCAAGTAGCAACTGTGTGCCGACATCACATGGCTATTTGGAGAATGATCAAGCATCACATAAATTGGAATTTGGCAATGATGCTGAAACCACTGATAATTTGGAGGAGTCATGCTCACCTGCCACAGCAATAGCGTCAAATCCTTCGTGTCCGTTGGAATCACCCAGTAGACCAACAGTTATTGATGGTGAAGCTCAAGCTTGTAAGGAACCAAATGATTCTGGAAATCTTAAAAAACCTGTTATTGACGAAGAGGTCTCATCTGTTCAAGTTCTTGGAAGTGACAATTTGGCTTCTGCAGAGCAAAACTCAGTGGATTTGTCCATAAGGAAGGAAGAAGTTCATGCTTCTGGGGCTTCCATTGAGGTGCAAGGTTTGTTTTACAAGTCTTGTGCATGTAGTCTTACATAGATTGGTGATTTTTTTTTTATAATGACTTCATGTTAGATTATTAGCTTCCATCTTTGCAGGTGAAGCCTGTCAAATGCAGATGTCAGAACCTGCTTTATGTGATGATCAGTGGGAAAATTCAAATAATTGTAATATGTCTTACTTGCCTGCACCTGAAAAGTTACTCTCTGCACCAGAAGGACCTCTTGATAAACCAAGTGATTTGCTGGTTGAATCTACCCCAGACAAAGAGGTCCTAGCAGGGAATGATGAAATTGATGCTGGAACCAAACTCATTTCTGGAAAAAAGCGAAGTATAACTGAAAGTACACTGACCATAGAGAGTATAAATTCAGTTGAATCATTTGGAAGGCCTCGATACCGGGGAATTGCTGAATCAGTTCCTGATGATGATGACTTGTTGTCTTCTATTTTAGGTAAGAGCACTTTTAACTCTAAATGAACTACCATCTGCCTTCTATGAATTTACTAGAATAGCATGGATTGTAAGGCTGTTTTTCATAAGAATATTTTTATGAATGAATTTAATTTGTCATTGGTTCAGTTGGAAGATCTTCGGTTTTCAAAATGAAAACAACTCCTCCTCTTGAAGTAGCATCAATGAAACGTGCACGGTCTGCTCCAAGACCTAGTGCCACCAAGAGAAAAGTGCTTATGGATGATACTATGGTCTTACATGGAGAGTATGTTATTAATATGTTTTTATTGTTCCTTACTCTGTATCTCACTTGTTGATATTCTGATGATTGTTCTCCTCAAATGTTTTTTAATTTTGAAAATCTCCACCATTATTCTTCTTGTGCAGTCAATATAGCATGTTTTGTTTTATTGAGTTCACTACTTTCTTTGATTTTATAAATTAAAATTTCTGTCTATGAAATTCATGGACTTGGGAATTTCTGTCCTTTCATGTTTACTTTTGTAACCTTTTCATCATTTAACCTGCATTGAACTCCCATCCTTCTCTGAAGCACTTTTTTGTTTTCTTCTGTTTATAAGTTCTACATGGGTTACTTTTGCTGATGGTGTTAAACTCTTGATTACCTGGTGTTTTGTCTATAAAATAACACCCTATTTGTAGTATGGCATATGTGGTTTACGTTGCAATAATTAGCTAAACATATGATAGATTTGTATTTCTTTCCAGTCAGCTTGGAACATTCTGAAATATTCTTGAATGGTATTTATTCTTATTAATGAATCTTAAAAGGGTTTTTTCTTTTTTAAATTATTCAATTTATACTTTTGGCTTTAGTAGTTAAGTACTAATTAATTTGCCTTTTTTTATCAAGTACAATACGTCAGCAGTTGGTTAATACTGAAGACATACATCGTATACGCAAGAAAGCACCTTGCACTCGCCCTGAAATTTCATTGATTCGGAGACAATTCTTGGAAGATGAAATCTTTAGCGAACCTATATTTACTGGTGAGATCAAAGTGCTAAAAATTCACTTATCTGCATGCTTTTGTTGGGTCAAAGAAAAAAAAAAAAGAAAATGATGGATTTCAACTTGTCAGTTAATTATAATGGGCCCAAAAATTCAATGTTACAGTTTGGGTGTTGTAAGATACAGAGTGGTGAAGGAGGGAGAGTTATGAATTGCTGTGTGTAAACTCACCCTATACGATACTCGCCCTAGAAGAGGAAAATTTATTGATACAACTGTAAACATAACTCTCCTGAAGGTCCTGGTCAAATTTGATTTGCTCTCATTGAAAAGAGTTTATACCTTCTTCTAGATGTTTGTTTAATCTAGGGCATCCTCAGGCCTAGTGAGAAAAAGATGTCCCTACTTCTACATGTGTTTTTCCTATTAGCTTGGACACTATTTCCTCGTTTCTGTCGACTTAACAAGAATTTTTTAGATGTTGAATTCAGTTTTGTGGTATTGATGTTGTTTGTATGAATGCATTACTCAAGTTCTAAAATTGTATGGACCACAAAATTTATCAGCGATTTATCCTAATGGTTGTGCATCTTTGCCTTGATTTTATTGTTGCCTGAAGTAATTCTGCCTCTGCTAAGGAGGACTTTCTAACACATTATAATTTTACAAGTTGTTTAACTGTGCTGTACCTTTCAGGTATGTCAGGTGACCTGGCATGTTTGTGCAGTGAACCATATGATATAAGCGGTATCAGAATTTATGAAAGTGATGAAAGCCATTTCTCACCTGTCTCAGTTAAGGATTCAGGGTGTTCTGTGAGGCCTAATATTGCTGAAGAAGGTGGAATTGAAGGAAGCTCTGTACCTGTGGTTCATGGAAATGATTTACAAGCAGAATCTGCTGGCACATCTTTTCAGACTGATACTCAGCAGGGTGAATACAGTGATCTGAATGCTCAGCATGTACCTCAACTTTTGCAACATGAACCTTTAGATGGGATCACGGAAATGGAAATTGACAAAGATAACGTTGAAGTTGCTAATGCAGCAAATCAATCTGTTCTGAACGAGTTTGGGGTATCAACCCCTACTAATTCCGTTACTGGAGATACTAGTAACATGACAGCTGGGGAGATAACCAACACCATAGATGGTTACATGTTAAACAATGCTACTTGCCATCCAAATAATCAAAAGATGAGTACTCAAACTTGGGAGGATGCTTTGGAATTGGATATGAGAAATGACAAGGGAAGTAATCCTTCTAAAGTTTTAGAACATGATGTTGACAGCATTATTGCAGCTGAAACTGAATCAAAAGCAACTGATAAGTTTTTCTTGGAAGAAAGTAAAGTCAGTGCATCAGTTGAAGTCAGTATGGCTGACTGCAGTGCTCCTAGTGAAAATGGAATTAATTCTCTTGCGACTATACAGACCGGTGAGTCTCTGAATGGTGCCCAAAATGCATATGAAACTGGATATGTTAAGGTTGGTGTAGTAGATGAGGCTCAAGTTGACGGTGCACCCTTGGATCATCATGACAATGACCCAATCTGTAAGGATACTGAAGAATGTAAAATGTATTCTACATATCCAGAAAAAGTTGATGTGGCTTCATTAAATGATGGACAAACTCCAAACTTTAAGGAAGTTTATGCAGTCAATGAAGTGACCCCTCTTGTGGATAATCACGCGGTAAGTTATTTACTGCCCGTTACTCCTATTGATCTAAAAATTTTTAAGTGCTTCAAGTTTTTTATAAGTGTTGGCAATTTCTTTGCTTGTATGAATTCAAATTAATGTTTTAACGTTATGCAGAAAGTCAACAATGATTAAGATAGTGCATATACAAGCATTAATATTTGGTTTTCTGATTCTTTCCGCGGTGATTCATTGAAAATATTTCCATAAACCAAAAACTTATTTTCTAAAATATATTTTAATAACTGTTGAATATTTAACTTTGATTTATAGTGCTCCATACCATATAGCATGGTGGACATTTTAAGTTTTGATAACTATTCAATTCCTTCACTTCATATTCTTGTTCAGTTGATTGCTATTTTTAGATTAATTTATTATGTTTCTATGAAAGTTGTTTTGGCGATAGCCTTTCTTATCTTATTTAAGGCATTAAGAATCCCATAAATGACTATTTGGCTTTGTGGAGTGCAGGAATTTGAGGATGTTGCAGTTGCAAATGATACAGGTTTAATCTTATTCCCTTCTGTTTTACTTTTACTTTACTTTGAGTGTTGATAGGTATTTCTTGAAATTATATTTATTTGAATTTTTTGAAGTTAATGACTTAAGAGTTTTTGATTGAATGAATGATACTTCAGGTGTAAAATTTTCGTCTTAGTTGTGAAAGTTTTAGGCAGGTTGGACCATAGTTAGAATTAGGAGTATAATCAAGCTGAACTGAGTTGATACATTATTAGGCTCGAGCTTGATTCGACTCAAGACTTGAAGCTTGACTTGAGCTTAAGAAAGTTACATTTTTCATGCTCGAGCTTGGCTTGGTAGACTTAATTAGACTTAGTAAAATTGTAAATATTGATATTAAACATTATTTTTGTCATTTACTTATATATATATACATTAAATATATTAAAGAAATAAAAAGCTCTAGTAGGCTTGCAAGCCTCTTGAGTTGTGTATTAAACTACTTGAATTTGCTCAACTCGTTACTTGAGTAGCTTAATCTCAGCTCGACAATGAAAGAGTGGATTTCGAGTTTTTGTGAGTGGAGCCCAAATAGTTCACGAGTAGCTTGACTCATTTTCACCCCTAATTAGGACCACGGAGAGCTATGGCCTTCCAAAATGTTTCCCCCAAAAAGGAAAATGTTAATATTTTATTAAAAGTCTGTGTTTTATATTCCTTCTATTTATGCCTTACCTCCTTGCCTACTCGCAACTTAATCAATCTTGACTCTGCCATTGGTTTGGTAGATATTTATTTTCTTTATTTTTTCCTTGCAGAATTTCTGAATGTAGATGATGATGAGCTAGGTGAGGATGATGATGGTGGCATGCCATGTGGTGATGAAAGTCATCTTCTTGAAAATAGTGGATGGTCTTCTCGTACCAGGTGTGTAAGCTCCTCTCCTTATAGTCGATTATTTTAGCTGTTGTTTACTTTTTCCCTTTAATTTCAACATTAATTTAGTATTACTTGTAAAAATAATTTCGTGTGGAATGATGCTAGTTCACATCTTGATATTTGCTCATACCCTCTCTTTCAGGGCTGTTGCCAAGTATCTGCAGAATTTATTTGATGATGAAGCTGTACGTGGACATAAGGTACTATCTATGGACAGTCTTTTGGCTCGTAAAACATGTAAAGAAGCGTCCAGGATGTTTTTTGAAACACTGGTATGTTTACTAAAACTTGTCTCACAACTTTTTTAAGTTCATAACGGTATCATCTACACATCAATGAAGAATGGAATATTTGCAACTAAGAATATTTCAGCACACAAAACCCTGCATGTAAATTTGTCAAAAACTTCATTTTATCTCTCTATTATTATATGGCAAGGCATTATTCGTTTAAAAAAAAAAAAAAAAACGATGAGAAATGGGCTTGGAAAGAAAAACTCCTATCATTGGAAGCCCTTATTCAAGTACAAAGTACTAATATACACAAAATTGTTCTCATACAAACACAAATGCTACTTCTGGTGCCTTTTTTAACGAATACAATTGAAAGATATTTTGACATTATTGTCAAACAGGATAATCAATATTATGGATTAAATAAAATTGAATCTTGAAAAAGAATTGCAAGTAGAAGAGGTGCTCCAATGCAAATGTCGGTTTGGTATTTACACACAAATTAATAGATTTACTTTCTTTAGATTGATACTCTTTATCTTACCATCCCTTATAGGTTAGGATAGTTCACTTGAGATGGAAATTGTGGTTATATATCTAAGGTGAAGCAAAAATGTTTCCTTATCTGGTCAAGTAATTTTAATGCTGCTCTGGTGGGGGAAAAACATAAACTCATCCTTTTTTTCTGGGCTGCAGGTTCTTAAAACAAGAGATTACATCCATGTAGAACAGGGGAAACCCTTTGACAACATTTGTATAAAGCCTCGAGCAAAGCTCATGAAGTCAGGTTTCTGATCCCTTTTATAGGAAAAAGCAGATACTGTGAAAAGTTCCTTGTTGTAGTTCTAGTTCTGATGCTCAGCCCGCATCGGTAATTGTTTTGTTTCAAAATGTTCCTTTTTTTTTTTAATTTTGAAAATTAGTTATTGGTTTGATAGCTTAACAGTGGGGAGGGATGGTACGTCATGATGGTGATTGAGACGACTTTAGCTGGACAATAATTTTGTGTATATATGTGTAAAATATCTGAATTTGCAAATGAAGATTGCTAATTTATTTGTTTTGACTGCTATTTGGCTATTACCTGAGATTCATTTGCGGTGTTTCTGAATCTGAATCATGAACTCACGTTTTGGGGTTGAGCTGATCAATTTTTTGGTTTTGGGCAAGCAATTGATGGCAAACTGTTCTCCCAAGCATCAAATAAGTTAAAAGAATTCTATCTAGAGGTCACCTGTTTGGTGTTTGTCAGGAAAACGCTTCGGATTTGAGCATTGACTAAAACATTTTGTTTTATGCGTGAGTTATAGATTACTTATGTTTGATAGTTCTTTGTAAAAGCAATCGATCCTTTTGTTAGTATCGGACCTCATCCTCTTGGCTCTATCGGAGCACATTGAAACCCATGGCCTCCATATCTTTACTAAGCATTTTTTTCTCTTCAGCAACATACTTTATTTTATGCACAGAATTATCGATTACTTTTAAACCATATTAAACAATAAGATTCAACATAGGTGCACAAGAAGCAATAAGAAAAAATTTACTTAGGAACTACAAAGCATCTTGTTGTATAATAAGTCGCTTAGGCAATGCATTATACACAATAAGAGTGAAAATCTTGTTCTCAATGCTCCAATCCTTTAATAAACCATAAAATTATCACAAAAATCAATTAGAGGTTTCAAAGAAAATTTATACGTTTGATATTTAACTTCTTATCCTTTTTGTGTCAGTTAAACTATTAATGGTAAAATCTTGAAATTAATAGAAAAGGAAAGAGAGCGGTCAAAGACAAAGGCTGAGAGTGGTCTTAGCCTTTGTGTTTCGAAACTTAATTCAGAGATCGGTAGTGGATGATATAAAGAGAATATGAGAAAAGTAGAGAAAAGCTAGACGGTGAAATGGTATTGAAATGGTCCTATTTATACTTGTATGGAGAGGGGATACGAGTAGCCTTAGGACTAGGATGACTTGACAGATTGAGTTGACTTGGATATTGACCGTTCATTTTAGGGATGACAAGTAAGTATTCAAAGAGGTCCATTTGTGTAGAGTGGTGATGTAGCCGGGTTGATGTGACCTCGTGAAATCAAGTCAATTGACATGTCAACCGACCTAAAAGTTAGAAATGCCTCTGGCTATATGCTAATAGCAACTAATGGAAAAGAAAAAGACTATTTTGCCCTTTAGACCTAAAAATGCTCTAACATTCTGTCTTCCCACCGAGTAATCTAAGCATCAAATTGACGAGCATTCATTATGTCAATCTGATATGTGATTGGTGATACTGATCTTAAACTCTTGAGTGTGGGCTTCAAAAGCTTTATTTAGTTAGTCTAACTTGAAGTCATCGAGGTGGATGACCAAGATTGTCGATGTGAACAAGGGCAGCAGGCTTGCAAGCTACTACTGACATGTTTACACATTTAACATCACACCTAGTTATAATTTGTTGGCCCGTTATTATACTGATCGATGTGGGCCTTATGCTTTTTTATTGTTTTTGAATTTCTTGTGTTAGTACATGGCTAATCTCACATGTTGCAGGTGTTTGGCTAATGTAAATGGTTTTTACTAGAATGACCTATGTGCCTTTTTTGCTTTTAATAAGGAGAGAGAAAATTAGGCAGTAAAATGAAATAAACTTGAGAATGTGAAGGGTTATCCTTAATAACCATTTTAGCTACTGGCACAATTTGGAGTATTTATATGATATTTGTGTTTAGTATATAAAAGGTCTACTAGGCCTCTATTTCCCACATTATAGCCTTATAGCTCTCGAGCTGACTTGATTTAACCGACCTTCACTACCTTTAACCTTCTTTAAATCAATCTTTTATTTTTCTAACTTCTCGATACGTCTCTTATCCTTTTTTCTTATGTCTTTTGGTTTTGGTATTTCTGGGAATTTTAAGGTAGAAGTAAAAGGAAGTCAGCTCGACTATCAAGATTTCTCTTCAGATGATGAAATCCCTTCTATTATTGCAAGAAAAGATTATAGTCGAGCTACTTTATGGTTAAATCCAATGTCTGCTAAGGGCCAAAAACAAATTGAAGACAATACTAATACAAGAGAAGAATGGATTTATCATGGGATGGATGAGCTTCTTGCTACATTAGATTTCAAGATCTAGAATCCTCCAGCCTCGATGTCAGAAATCAGTTTGGCTTCTACAATTGAGCTATCCTCTTCTTCTTCAAACTTTCCTCATTCTCAATCTAATCTTTTTTCCTTTTCTTTTGACCTCCCTCATTCTTGTCCTCACTTTTCTTACCTTTTTACTTTTTCTTGACAATCCTTTAGGCTGAACTTAAAGTCTGAGTCTGAAGGGTGTTTTAGTTCCTCTTAACCTTTTTATTCCTCTGACATAGTGAAAGTCCCAACTCTTGTTTGGGCATAAGGTTTTACTTGTTCTTCAGAAGCTAAGTTATTTGACGATGAAACTTTTAAAAGTGAACAAACTCTAGGCAAGGAGGAGGTAAAAGGGTTTGACCAAGTCAAAGAGGGTAAGGGTAAAGGAAAGGAAGTGGTCTCCCTAGGCAATGATGTAGAAAACCTCACCCCATTCTACACCCCTATAGCTTAGGTATAACCCCGAAAGACATGATGCGGAGCTTAAAGGGCAGGGTCGACCCTGAGGACTACCCTAACATGTGCTTGATGCATCATTCCAATACTTTGAAGGTTAAATTTAACTTTTCATAGAAAGGGTATAGTATAATAGCATCGACCACTAACGATCGAGTCATTACTCATTTAGACGAGGATAAGATTTGGGTCTATTAGGAATCTATAGTGGTTGGTTTGAGGTTTCTTTTACATTTTTTTTATTGTAGATCTTTTTTTTCCTTATGATTTAGCAATCACTTAATTTGTTCGAAACTCCTTTTAATACATAGTAGATTTTATTATTCTTTGTAGAAAACTGAGCTTAGTTCCTACTGTCCCTCTATTTTGAGAATTTTTTGTAATTAAGAAACATCCACATGATAAGAGTTGGTTCTATGTGATAGCTTGGCCAGTTAAGAAAATTTTTACGGATTGCCTAAACTCAATAAAAGGTTGGAAGTTGCTTTTTCTCTATATACAAAAGGAGAATAAATAGGTATGTGATGTAAATAATGGGCTTAGGATTTTTTAAGAGATCCAAGCCAACCCTTTCACTATAAGAGAGCTTGAAACTCAAGACAGAATAATGGACTTCCTCAAGAAGGGAGAGTTAGTTGTTTATGTTTACGAGTTGACCTCCTCTAATGTTGTCAATAAGGTTAAGTATTGGGGTAGGTGTGAGGTAACTTCATACGATATTTATTTTGTTCAATTATTTTACCAACACTTAGCTCGTTTTTCTTTTGTAGACGTGTCAGCTTAGGGTGGATCTTTTGACTAGACTCATTTAGTTCATCCCCCCAAGGTTAAGGGCTGGAGTGAGGATCTCATCGGGCTTGATGCTCCTTTAAGGGGCATCAGAATAATTGATCTACCTCCTCCTTAGTCTTTCTCTACCTCTATAGTTTTGTAGAAGAGGCAAAAGAGCACAGCACAGAGGCCTCAGAAGAAGCAGGGAATTGAGGCTTTTCCTTCAAGGTTGAGCACCAAACAATAGCCTAACTCAGAGCGAGTGGCAATAAACATGGAGTTTGACTCCATAGAGAATGCATTCAAGGACTTTAAGGTGGTTAGGAAGATCACATGGGTAACATTCTCGAAGAATGGTTAATACATCTTTAAGCTAAGTTTATTGTTGTTTTATGATTTGTTTTATTTCCAAGTTTAAGCTCAATTTTTTACTTTTATAGTCTTTGAATAGCTCTCAACCTTTATCTCTCAAATTGAGGGGTAGGGTCTAGTGAGTGCTTATTAGGCTTTTGTGCATTACCACAAGATCGAGAAAGACCTCAAGGCCTATGCTTGGGGCTTCAACGCGTCACAAAGGCAAATAAAAAACTCAAGGCCCATTACGCTGAGATGAAAAAGTCTAACAAAAAGTTCGATAAGAAGTTCGAGGACATGATTATCAGAGTTGAGGACATGTCTATCTAAAAAGTCATACCTTACTACAACAAGCTGACCTCAAGCTTAATGAAGCTTTGGTTGAGGTTGAGAGGTTGAAGTTCGAGCTTAAAGCTAATAAGAAGGCCAAGCAACAAGTAGTTGAACATTTCCTAGCATCTGACAAGTTCTATGATATGCAAACGGAGTTTACTCAGGATTAAGTCTTTGGTTCTTTCAGTTTAGTGTTGGAAAAGGTGAAGTTCCTCAATGCTATAGGCTCAATCTACAAGTATGTCCACTTTCATATACTCGATAATCGAGGTGATACTCTTTGGCTCAATACCCAATGAGATCAACTGCTTAATAGTTCCCTTTATTGGTACCAGTTCATTCCAAAAACCAATCAACATGGTGGTGTGTGGTTTTCAACATCTCTTCATTTATGCCCATTCTCAACATTATGGCATGGTATAAAATGTCTGTCAAGCTACCACTATCAAATAATATCCTCCTCACAACATGATTATACATAAGAGCAGTGATCACAATGGCATCATCACATAAGAATTAGATTCTTTCCATGTCTTTTAGGGTGAAGGAGATTGGCTTGTCTTTTTAACTTTTCTCTTTTGTGGCTGAGGACCTTATTGCCATTACCATTCCCTGCTCAAACTTTCTTTTGGTCAAGGTAGAGCTCCCTCTGGTTATCACATTGATAATATTCACAACGGGCCTATTATGTATAGCTCATCCTTTCTTTTCCTACTCGTTTCGTGGGTCTTTGCCATATATGTTTCCTTTTTTTCTATCTCTTTGATTCGTTCTTATCTTATCTCTTTAATTCCCCCTTCTAAAATTTACTCTACCATGATCTTATCTTATTCGATCAACAAACTTGCCCAACCGACCTTTTTTAATTAGATTTTATATTTCATTCTTCAGGTCAATATAATCTTCAGTATTCTGATCGATGTCTTTATGAAAAGCACAACTTTTGTAGGATCTTTCTTTATGTTGTACCTTAGTTGCTTCGGCCATCTAAGCTTAAGGTCTCTGTCAATATATAT